CTAATCGTTTAATCGTTATCTTGCCGCTCGAGGACGAGCTTTCGTCGCTGGCGATCGATCGTGCTATAATATACTCTAAACGTACTATGTTTTTCCTGTTTCGCCTGGTGATCGTTTCAATACCGACTATATTAACCCTTTTACGACGGAAAAACTGCGAACTACCAGCGGCTGTGAAGGTTAAGAGTTTAGTAAATTATTCTGCTTCACACTGTGGGTAATTTTTCTTGGAGAATTTTGTTTAGTAAAGAATAGCTGCAGAAATATTAAAAAATATTCAATAGTTTGAGTCGCTGAGAATTTGGGAAATTATTCTGCTTGACACTTTTTATTTATTAAATATTAGCGTCAGAAGTGTTAAAAAATATAAAATATTTTGAGTAGTTAAGAATTTAGCAAATTATTTTGCTTGACACAGTGGGTAATTTTTCTTGAAAAATTTTATTTGTTAAATATTAATGTCAGATGTGTTAAAAAAATGTTTTTTAGTATTTAATTAAAATTCTCTTTTACCAAAATTTCGATGGGTAACTGTAGACACCGTTATTAGCACAAGGGTTAATCGAATTAAACATTGGAATTACCGTCACAGCAACACTTTCCTAAATCAATTTTAATAATTCGATTAACCTAACCCGTGGCAATTCACCTTCAGTTCTCGCATTCTTCCAATTATTCAAAACTTCGAAAAACCGTTTGACCAGCAGTACACACAATTAAGCACTAATCCTCCATAAAAGCGAAGCCCAACAGTCGTACACAATTCCAGCTGCCTCCTATTTTTCCCAATAACAATTAACCAACCTTCCTCGTCATAAAGAAAATCTCCTTTTGCAATCCCTTCCATAGCGTTCACCGGATTAACTCGAAACTTTTTATGCGATTTTCGCGCGTTCACCGGTGTCCCGGCAACTTTCCTCCACTTTTTACGACCTTACGGCCAGGTCACCAGGGGAGTACCTAGGAAGTCAAGGTCCCAGGGGAAAGTCAACGAGCTTGGAAAGTTTACACACCGTCTGTTGAAAGGCGCGGAGAAGAATACACCCCTAAAAGTTCGACAGGCCTTCGTCGCGTATTGTTTTACTGCGGCAACGTGCCTTCCGCTTGAACACATTTGGCGGAAAGTGTGCGGCCATCGCCTATTTCCATGGTACGACGTCGAGGAGGAACGGAAAAGCGTCGTAAAGTTTACGCAGGATGCAATTCGTTTTACTGCACGGGGGCATTTGACGGACAATTCTGAGGAACGTTTCTTTCTTGTATCTCCCAGAGGACCTTTTATTTTTCATTTCTCTCGCTCTCTTCTTCTTCCTCTTCTCCGTGTGCGTGCTTTATCGAAGTAACGGGGAGAAATCGCGTTGCATAATTTGAGCGTGTTGTCGTTGAAATGTTTCCTTTGGAACGGTTTCTCGAAGGCTTGGAATCGAAATGGATGGATGGTTTTTGGCGGGTAACGAGCGCGATGGTGGAGGAAACAGAAGCCACGCGGAGTGAACAGCTGCTTCGTATATCTCTCGACAGGATCGTCGCACACCACGAACAAGGCTACGTGCATACGACGCTGCCCTAAACAGACGTGTGCCGGAACGAGAGCATTCTCTAAATATTATCGCGCAATATTTTTATCTCGACGGCGGAGGAGGAGGAGATGGAGAGAAGCTATATACGAAGAAGAAGAGAGGTTTAAGCTCTCGCGGAATTTCTCTCCATCTCATCGATATTTATTATTTTTCCTCCGTGAAAGGCTGTTCTCGTCTTGTTCATTTTTTTCGCCTTCTTCTGTCTTTCTCTCTCTTCTCTCGAGCAGTTGAGATCGAAAGGAAAACCGTGTTGAGATGGATTGTGGTTTTATTTTTACGCTACCTGGAATCGATCCATATTCTCTCGTCAAGGAGGAACGCGCTTCGTCAATGGCGCCACTGTATCTTCGTTTCATTGACGCGGTGGAGTGCGATAAATATGGGCGATCTCGGATATTTAACGGCGAACAGTGTCACATTAATAGCACTCGGATTGCTTTATACATATGCACGGGCTCAATTAGCTGTCACTCGCAGCTCCCATGGCTCTAATCACCGCGATACGTTGCTTTCAGCGTTAAGCGATGATAGGTGCACACTTTTCTCTGGATCTTACTCGTCTTTAGTTGAACATTCAATATCCGAGAGTGTGTGCGTCTGTTTATCCATTTCGTGGTGTTTTAATTCTTCATTTCATCGTACTCACACGTCTTCACGTTGAAGTTTCTTTAAAAAAATTCTTCAATTTCTATTTTCGAAATCTTCAAATTTGAGAATTTCCAATTTCTTCAAATGATTCCTCATAAGTTCATATCGAAATTTGCGCAAAAAATTTGGATCACCGAAACAAAATTTCCACACTGTCGGTACAAAATTTCCGTTTTTTCGTTAAAAAATTTTCCCTGTTCGGCGTGAAGTTACCAGATGACCTAATACCATTTCTCCAGTCGTAATCATAAACGGAGGACGATGAAAATGGACGATAAGGCGGGTACGAAAAGAGGAAGAAAAGGAGAGGTAGCTGCTTACAATTTGTAATCGACGTGGCTACCTGAGCGGCGCTAGGCTGCCGCTCGGGGATCGTCGAAAAAGCACGGTGACAGGGCCCTGCAAGAACTAGCTCCCCCCTACGAAGAGTTGACAGTATTTTTGTGCGGCGTACGAGACGCCTTCATTATCCATACGCCTGATGCGAGAGGAACTCCCATTCAGGACTGAGACTCATGAATACGCGCCACGGACCCCGTTCCCAGAATTCTCGCGGTCACGTCTCGTACGATCGTCGACCGGTAATTCGATTTTTGCGTTCGACCCGTTTTTCTCTGCGGATTCCTTCTCCCGGCTTCCCCAGCCTCTCTCAATATTCTAATTACCTGGAGGATAGCGGTGGAGGAGATTTTGCGGTTCGCTTAAAAATTGGGGAAGAAACGGAAGATTTAGAAAGATTAGGTGTAGCGAGATTGTTAGATCTAAATTTTTGTGCAACTCGTCACTTGTAGGATTGTTGGGAGTGGTTCGGTGGAATTTTTTATTCATTCATTACTGTAGTACAACGATCTATAATCCTGAAATTGATTTTTGTATATCTCTGTTTAATTAACGAATAAAAATATATTCAATGGCGATTGTATAGAACTGCAATGATTTTTTCTTTATTCACTGCTGTCTTACTCGATCAAGATGAAATTAATTAAATAAATCGGTTAAATAAAAATTGATTCAACCCATGCACTCTAAGAAGTAGATCTAAATGCTTAATTAGTTGAAAATGTGGCTAAGTAATGTTTGTGAATGCGTATCGGAGTACAGTGCAACGAATGAAACGATGAATTAAAATAATCACAGAACACAATGAATTTTCCTAATAAATTTCAAAGATCACAATTTACTCCAGAATTTACTCAAAAACTCCTACCTCAGAACAGTAAAACAAATTAAAACAATTAAACAACACAATGCTTAATTCGTTCTTCAACCGAATTTCAAAGGGCCCAATTAACTCAAGAATTTATTCAAGAACCAATCACTCACTCCACAATTTGCAGAACCAAGCTCAAATATCCGTCAATATTTATTTTTCAAAAGAACCAAACCAGAGAAAAAGTAGATCATAAAACATAATCGACAGTCAAAAACTGCGTTCTATCACGAGAAGAATGTTAACGACATTCATCCCGGTGACCAAGACCGAGCGTTCTAATCAGATGGCGCGGCTCGGTGTCGGCCAAGCATAATCTGCCGCGGTCCGACGTTGGATTCCACGAGATTAACCAGCACTTCCATCGAGATTTGTCGTCCGTCTCCTTCCTTTTTTTTCCCCTCTCCGTCTCCCTTCCTTCTCTCCCCTCGGTCCTGTCTCGCGTCCTTTTAGTAAAGAAACTCGTGGGTCCAATTAAGAGCGGACCGTGCACACCGCGCGCGATCGTCCTTCTCTTCCCCCTGGCGCGCGTTTTGTTTCCATTCTGATCGCCACTACATCGCGGCGCCATGAAAATGCTTGAGAATCTCCGGTTCTCTCCAACCCCTTCTCTCTCTCTCTTTCATCTCTTCCTGCGTTCCTCGGTGAATTCCATCGCGTTCACCGACGCGTTTCCGTTTTCTATACGTACGAATTGAACAGTAGGGGTCCAATTAAGAGGAAGCACGCGAAGGAAATCGTTTAGAGAAAGAGAGTGCAAGAGAGAGTGAGAGAGAGATAGTGAGGTTGGAGGAACAGCGAGCCGTGGCTAGTTCGAGGAACGGATCGAATAGGAGGAATAAAGATGGAGGAATTAGACGAAGGAACGAAGAAAGGCGTCTATACACATGGTGCGTACGCGAGCTAGCTTGGTTCCTAGTTTCTGTGCAGAGATACGATCGTCCCTGTAGTTTTAATGCAGCAATTACCACCGGGTTTCCAATTATTAAACCTACTTACCTGTGTGTGTGTGCTTGTGTGTTACAGATCAGACAAGAGAAACCCTACTACATCGCGGATCCGGAGGTGGACTCGCTGGTGAGTATTTCCTTATTCGTTGTGTCGCAGGCTACACCTCGTTTCCTTACCGATTATTACGTTCTTTTCTTTTCTTTCGTTCCGTTGGCTTTTAGAGTCTGATCGGCTCGGTTTTATCTGACGATCGCGGTCTCACTGGCCACCCGGTGAGCTCGTTTCGAAGAATGACGGTGGAAAAGTCGGCGAAGCACGGGAAGCGTTTAATTGAGGGATGGTGGAAAATCAAACTTCCGCGAATCGACTAACGAGCTGCTTGCGAAATTTTTTTTTATAATTCAGCAGCTTAACAATTGCTTCCTTTCCAAGGGAGCGACTGAGTTAGTCTTTGACCCTTTGCCGATGGAGGACTGCGTACCTTTCCTTAAACTCAATCATACGGAAGTTATATTTTACTCGTATGCAAAGTGTCTTAATTGCAATAAATGTTTAAATTGTTTCAACTGCTGTTGAAAGTAAGAAAACGTTATTAAAGGTTATCTCGATCATTTCAAGATCATTGACATTTTTTCGCGCGTTATTTTTGCATTGTTCGAAGTTAATTCAAGATCGTAATGTCGCAGGTCGTTGAACTCGCCTCGATGTTGGCTACAACGTAGCATTATAAAAAGCAAATGTAAACGCGCAAAAAAACGTGGATGATCTTGGAGTGATCGTCAAGACGATCTTGAGCAACTTCTTTTTTTATCATCACCAGTCATTTCTTTCATGGCAGCGGAAATAATTTGGATATTCGTTACGAATGACACACCCTGCATACCTACGCGAGTGAATAGCCACGCCAAAAAATTGTTTACTCAAAAATATGAGTTTGTTAGTTGCGTTCGTGCTTTCTTACGAATGAATATGTGGTTTCGTTGTTCTCGAAGGGTTAACATACCACAGAAAAAAAAAAACACTCTGAACGGGGGAGGACTTCGATAACCAAGTATACTTCGAACGCAAGAACTTGTTCGATTTCCCCTTCGATCGTTATGCTCGCGGGGATTTCAACTCGAGAGACGCGATACGAGAAAAAGAGAAAACGAGAGAAGCGGAGTTTTTCGATCCGAGAAGATCGTAAAGGGTATGCAAAAGTTGAGGACACGGTAATTAAAAGAAACGGAACACGAGGAGGAGACTCGTTGCTGCGCCTTTGTTTCCCCGTGGCCGGCCGGCGCGGAGCGGCGGCCATTCGAATGGCAGACCTTCGAAACACCGGAGGAAGAAATATTTCAAACGACCCTTCGCGTTCTCCGATCGAGATAACGGATAGTGGGCTTTTTAAATAACTCGGGTGTATTCCTTGCTGGACGAGGACGTGCACGCGGCCCACTGATGCTCAGCCTGGCTCAACGTCGACCTGCCATTATGGATTCCTTCTTGGGGACCGTTTGTCCTTGCTCCTCTGACCATTGATTCTCCCTTTCCTTCGATACCTCGCGTATAAATCCTTCGAGACTGATCGTAGAAGCTCGTGAAACCAATAATTAACACGTTCGTTGGCTCGTACGTTGCACGAGTACAGTTAGAAGTGAAATAATAGAGGAACAAAAATTTATTTCTCGCCCTGTTCGCATTAAAATTCATGATATTCGGTGTGGAATCTTGGAGAAAATTATTTTGTCGTTTTAGAAGCATGTAAATCTCTATCGACACTTTCTTGAAGAATATGTGGTTGAAAATTTTTATTATTCCACGAAAGCGAGTAAAAGTTGGGGTATATAATCTTCCTACGCTCGTTTGATATTAATATAAACGATATTTATTAATGAATGTAATACACTTTGTCTCTTTGGACACACTCCTTGTTCAGCAAAAAAGAAGACCATGAACGCTGATATTGATCGATATCCCATGGAGAAAAATCCCTGGGACCAGGATCGGAAAGTCACCTTTCCTAAAAATTTGTAAAAATCCTGAATCATTCGTGTATTTTATTCACACTTTGTATGAAAAAAAAACAGTAAAAATCTGTAAAAAAACTGATCCTTTTTCCTTCAATATTAAACAACGATCGTGTTAAGGTTCCAAGAAAAAAGAATCAAAAATTCAATTTTCCAGTATTTCCTGCACACGTCGAAATTAGCGCACATTTCTGCGTTCGACGCGACATTACTCGCGGGAAGATCCGATCTCTAATTATCCACGGGAAGAATAACAACGTCGGCGAAGCGATGTTTCACCATAAAGCCTGTCGGCGGACCTTACAGCCGCGTGTCGTCTGTTCCCGTTGAAAAAAGGGTGTCGCCGGTTTTCGAATATTCGCTCGTAATTCAAAATTGGATATATCGAGCGTGTTAATGGTGAACCGGTGTACGTTGTTCCGCGTTGGTCCTCTATTTTTTTTTTCTTCCTTTTCTCTGTTTCGCGTTTTTTATCCCGTTCGTCCCGGCGCGACTATGGGACAGTGGTGTGGCCGGAGGAAAAAAAAAAGGAAAAAAAAAATACGCAGCGGGGGAGAAGGAAAACGGACGACGAGGATGCATTTCGTTGACGTTGTTCGCATCGTTGGCCTCAATTTTTCAAAATGTCACGCCCGTTATCTGAGCTGTCAGGACGGCATCGGTCCACGCGCAAACATCCACGCAAGGTGTACCGGCTCGCATCTCGCGCCGCTGTTGTCACAACTGTCGCTCGGTCTCGATCTGCTGAAACAGAAAACGAACGGAATAAAACCAAAAAAAAAAAAGAGGAGGAAAAATAAAAACGGAGAGAAAAATCGAAACAGAACGAAACGAAAAAAGGACACACGCAGAGAGAGAAATATGGGAGAGAAAGAAGGAACAGAGGGAGGAAAAAACGTGGAAAGAAGGGGATAAACGAAAACGTGGAGCGCAACGAGGACGAATTATGCATCCGCGACATTAAGTAAATATAAGCACGGACAACCGAGACCTGTGTTTTATCTAAATTTTCAGAGGAAACGAGACTGGGCGCTTGGCTGATCTCACAGTGACGCGAATTACTACGCGTCTTTCGAATTTTCTCGACCGCCGTATTTGGATGTTCCGGCGTTGTTGCTGTCGAGGAATAATTCACCGCGTGATTTTCGTGTATTTTTGCTCTTCCTGTGCATCTTGATCTTTTGCGGTGTCTTTGGAGTTCAGGATTTGTGAAAGACAGTTGCACAAGAATTACGTACACCTCGAAATAGTTTTGTAGTTCGGTGGTCCAAATTATGGAAGAAAGTTCCAGTCTAAATTAAACGTCTCAAATTTTAAATTAAAAGTATAAAATTTCAAAATGAAATTCAAATTTTTTAATTTAAAACCGGAAAATTAAAATTAAAATTCGATTGTCGAATTTAGAGAGTCTAATAATTGAAACACCACTTAAGGTTACTTCCCTCCTCTCTTTCGGGCATTCAAATCACTCGCCGCCAGTCATCATCGATCGAGCAACGCGATTATTGCACCTGTTGCTACAAATGCAATAATTCAAAACGTTTCGTGCAAGAAACACCGGATCACACTGCACACACTCGTTCCATCGAAATACGAACGGTTGCGACCGTTCATCAACGAGAGGGTATAGCAACACACCGCACGCGGAGAAGAACCCTCTTCCAATCGAAACGTGTGTTCCTCGCTCGAAACGCGTCGTTTCCCAATTTCTCCCAATCCGCTCGATCCCAAACGCATTATTCCCTCCCCCCTTCCGCCCCCCGGTTCCTTCGAAAACAGGTCCCATAAACGCTCTCCCCTCTAGCAACTTAGCAAAAACTCGCGAGTCGAATCCGCTAGAAAATTTACGAACGCTTGAGGGGAAGCTTCACCACGGACGGATCGAAAATCGCAATCGCGGCTCTCTGGTTCGCCAAGAGGTGGCGTGGCTTCATTACGTCCGTGGCAAATCGCAATCTACGAGCAATGAGCTTCTATCGTAAAGAAGAGGCACGTAACGTCCGCGGTTTTTGCCATTTCTCCGCCATCTTCCTCTCCTTTCCTTCCTTTCTCGGTGTCGTCCTTTTTTCCTTAACCTCCCCACCCCTGCGACCAATACAGAATCAACTCTTCCATCTTCGTTCCGTTCTATCGCAAGATGGTTGTCCACATCGGCAGAAATCAACTTTTTTCCACCACAATTATTTCATCCGGTGGAAACTCTGGGCATTACAGAGGTTAGGGCAGGGCGTGTGTGTCTGTGTGCGTTGATCGGAAAGGCCGCCTGGAAACGACGCGGTGACAGGGTCGAGGGGGCAGCGACGAAAGGGCTCGAGATGGCAGAAAATTCGAAGCAGCTGCGTTCATCCCTTGGAAAAGAGCAGGGAAAGTTCGAGAAGAAAGAAAAGAATTTTCGCCTGATTTTGCTACCGTGGACAAAAGAAAACTGTTGCACTCTCTTCGAGTGTTTCCAAGCTACGAACGTCGAGATTTGTGGTTTAATCGAGGTGGTCCCTTTTCTCCGAAGCAATTTTTCCAAAATAATTCCTGCGCTTTGAACGGCTGTAGGTACCTTTACGCTTGTAACGTGCAAATAACACGTTTGCATCGGGACAAACGATGCTTGGTTGTTGGTGTATATCGAGCAGAGTTCTCTCCGCGTGTTTTTTCCATTAGTTCTACCTTTAACCTTCGGCGAACAGCATGCAAAACGGGGTCGGGAGTTGTGCCACGCCGGAAGAGGCACGTAACAATGGCGGACGTGGTAAAGCATGTGGCAAAGCCCGTTCGCTCAATTGCAGGCGAAGGTCAAGGGTTTCCTACGGGGTTAAAAGCGAGCAGATTCTCTCTCTAGTAAGAGAATCCTTGGAGCGCGGAGAAAGCGTGCTCTCTATTCTTCCGCTGGAATCCGTGGTTTCCGGCCTCGCGCGAGGATCTTATCTGACGCGTTCCAATGGAACGAAAATACCCGCTGTCCACCCTCCGACACTCTTTTCAACCCGTGACCCTTGCTTCGTCTAATTCCGTCCAATCTTATCTCTACTCTTGTCCTCCGAACTTCTGCTTCGTCTACTTTTTCTCCCTTGTTCTAAGCAATCTAGACGAGGCTTGTATTACAGATTTCGGTCGATCTTGATG